CTCAAGGAAGTGATCCATGATTTCAAATGCTCGTGCACGTACAGCGGCTTCAAACGGAAGATCTGATTTTTCCGCGACCTTCTCGCTGAGCAGGAGTTTTACCAGTTCGAGGTTCTGGTTTTTGATGGCGATAAAGAGTGATTCGAACAGCCACGTTGGCTGAGGCTGGTTTCGCTCAGGTGTTGGCGACCGGGGTTCATGCAGGAGACTCTGGACCTGTTTCTTGACACCATCAATATCTCCTCGAGAAGCGGCCTGATAGCATAGCTCGACCTCTTCGGGCCTTTCATAGTTAAATATCATCGGCGGAGGCAAAGACATTGTCCTGTGAGTGTATGCGTTAGCAGAAAATTGCTTTAAGGTAAAGGAATCGAGAACGCCTTTACCCGCCCGTGGGGTAAAGCCTTGGCGTAGCCGGCATCAATATAGGTGAGTCGAACAAGGTGCATAGACGAGGTGCATAAGTTTAAGAGAGGTGCGTATGTTACCGTAGTGCATAAGCCGCTTGATCTTCAACTAGATAGCCATTAAGGTTTTGCAGGCCTGCAGAAAGCGAAGGAGCGCCTAGCTCGTGCATGACGCGGTATTTTTTTGCAGGGATCAGACACCCTGTTTCCTAACCTCGTCAAGGGGCCTATCGTTACCCCGCTTCTAGCGCTTGCGCACCCATCGGTCACATGCTTGAATGTTCTATTGTTAGATACCGAGCCTACATACGATATTGGTGGCGGTCATCAATTCATATCCGGTCGACGATCCTCACACGCCCCTGCATATCGCACGATCGTCTATAGTACAGTGCTCATTGCGCCGCTCAACCATCTGCTGCTGATGAGATGAGTTAGCATTTTTGTGCGAACTGATTATGTTGTGGAAGCTACACGTGGCATTCTCGAACAGCTGCAGCTTTATGGTCTTGCGGTAGTTATCTTATGGTCTGATAGCCCAAGCACCATTAATCCACACGTAGGCCGGGTTCTGAGTCGAAACGTAGTATTGCCCATCCCAACGTGAATCCGCAGGTGTACTCCCTGATGCGGTAGACGGTCTGATGGCCCAAGCACCATTAATCCACACGTAGGCCGGATTCTGAATCGAAACGTAGTATTGCCCATCCCAACGTGAATCCGCAGGTGCGCTTCCTAAAGATGGCGATGTGGCAGCTATGCTTCTGATTATTCTATTCTCCACGTACACTTGAATTGTACCGCTTCTCGCATCGACGAATACAGAACCGCGGTCCAAGTGATCTGTATTGTACGGGACACGGTAAGTTTGTGACGTGTCCACGGAAAGACCTGCATCGCGTAGCTTTTCTTCCATAATCTTTTGCTGGTCGGGAAGTGCAATGCCAGGACCAAAAATAGCGCAAATAACCCAAGAATTAGGGCTTCCCATAAAGTTTTGATATTGACGGTAATAGGTTATAAGCCGGTCCATAAAGGATCGCACATGGTTGTCTCCAGCGTATGGATCGTCCGTATCGTTGCCATCCGGCCGAGGTGCTACGTGTCCTAGGATTGCCGCTTGCGGGGAGACAATGAGAACAACAGAGCATGAGCCAAGTTGATCTGTTCCAATGCAAGGTGTTTGTGAGAATATGGTGCTGTCAAAACCGTTCATAGGAACTGCTTTTGCCTGATTTTTTTGGACAGCCAGCCGGAATCGGCTCAAATCAATAGAGGTGGCCATTTCGACCCGAAAGAATGCTGGTCGTAGGTAACAGCACAGATGAGTGTTTGAGTTATTTTGGGCTTGAAGGGACAAAGTTTTTATGCCGAAAAGTGCACCTTTCATACCTTGTTCAGCTCGCATAGTCCACACACACCTCGTCTAGCTCACGTAATAGCATCCGATTCCTGCTAAGCTTCCCTAGGCATGAAAGCCCTGCAATGCCCAGAAACCCCTGCAGCCTTGTATAAAAGTTGCAGCTGACTAATAACACAAAAATGGGGTTCTCTTGTGGCTTCTATGACGAATAACTGTTAGATATCCCCTCCATTCCTACTATCGATACTATTGCTCCCCAAGCCTTCAGCGACTGTCATTGTTTCTCAACTGAAGGTTCTACTCATCAGGACTGAGTACTTACCGTCGAAATTCTTCGAATTCTACCTACCTGATGGCCAGTGGGATGCTTTAAGCGACTTTAGTATCAGGCTCTCGGAAGCAGCGAAGCAGATGGAGAAAGACAGCCGTGTGCTAACAGAATCGCGAGGAAGAGACGAACAGGATCGCATGAGAACCTGCTTCGCCGCCATGCTAGACAAAAGTCTTATTGCAGCGCAATACTCTAGACTAAAGCACAGCTGAGGCCGGCTATCTTGTTGATCCAAATCGGCTAACCGATCCATCGGTTAGGAGCAAGGCTGCTGCGATGCTAAAGGCAGAAAATGGCGCGGTGTGTGACCCGGGATCATCGTACGCTCAGGTAGCTCAGATCTGTCTCCATCGAGGCCGTTATTGCCGGCCTTACTAACTTATATCATGACATCGTTGAATATATCCCTGGCATGATCACGCTCCCCAGCAATGTTCGTACGCACAAAGCCATGCTGATGTAATCTCACACCTTGCCTACTCTCGCAACATGCTGTCTTGTTTAGAACCGGCGGAAAGCATAAGTCGGATGCGAACTTGTTTGT